AGTAGTAGTAGTAGTAGTAGTAGTAGTAGTAGTAGTAGTAGTAGTAGTAGTACCGTGTTCCCCTGAAAATTAGACAGGGTCTTATAAGATCTCCCCGGATAATAAGCCCAATAAGATAGGGTCTTATTTTCCTTTGATCCCTGAAATAAACGCTTGGCCTTATTTTCAGGGAGGTCTTATTGTTTTTGAGGTGTAGGAGGTGGCAAGCATGGTCACCTCTTGGATGTTGCAATATTTTCACAAAGGGCTTATTTTTGGGGGAGGGTTTATTTCAGCTCATGGGCTCAAAAGCCCAATTGGGATTATTATCCAGGGAAGTCTTACTTTCGGGGAAACAAGGTAGTAGTAGTAGTAGTAGCAGCCGCACCAGCAGCAGTAATAATTAGAGGAGGAGGAGGAGAAGGAGGAGGAGCAACAGCAATAACTGGACATGCATTTTACAAGGAAAGAGGGAAGACTTTCCAGACCGTGTAAGCTGAATCGGACCCAGATAATGTACTAACTTTCTTCAGGGATGTTGCTTACATAGGAAGGGGAAACACAAGAAAGGATTCTTTTCCCTACCTTTGCCTATACTCTAAAATTTAATTCTGGAAATAAACAGTGGAGGTCCAGGCCCCGTCTGACATTGTTCTGAGGATTCTCCTACCTCTTGCTTGCCAAAACCAGAAGAAGACCAAACATCCTTGTTTTTTGGTGAGCTATGAGGGTGAAGGTCTTCTCCAGCAATGTTCAACAAAGCTAGAAAATGAATAGGTGCTATGCTGGACAAGCAACCATGTCACTTAGAGACATGGTGGCACAGTGGTTAGAGTGCAATACTGCAGGCTACTTATGCTGATCACCGGCTGCCAGCAGTTTGGGAGATCGAATCTCACCAGGCTCAAAGTTGACTCAGCCTTCCATCCTTCCAAGATTGATAAAATAAGGACCCAGATTTTGGGGGGCAATGTGCTGACTCTGTAAACTGCTCAGAGAGGGCTGTACAGCAATGTGAAGCGGTATATAAGCTTAAGTGCCATAGCTATTAAAGAAGTAGCTTTGGAGAGTGGGGAATGAGCATTGGAGGGACATGTGTCCATTTAGAGAGGACAAGGCTGCTTTTCCTCTGAGGAGTTGAGGCCATTTGTCACAGCCCAAGTCTTTTAATGCAGTTCTTCATTATGGATAGACACTGATGAGGGCTTGAACCTGAATCTCTTCAGTCAACATCCAACACATAGTAGACATTCTTACGCAGACACAGTGGTCACACACATGGATACTCCACATTGTTGGTGTGGCAGAAAAATATTTTGTGCATATTGGGGTTTGTGGCACTTGTATAAAATGGGAAACTATGATTTGCTGTGAGCTAAGAGTACACAGTTCTCTTCCTTGTGCTTGCCAACGAAGTGGGGAAAGTGACGAACAATCATGTGTTGGGATTAGGTCTGAACCAGAGGTGGGTTGCTCCCGGTTTTACTACTGGTTCGCTTCGCATGTGCTTCGGGCGAACCGGGACTGAACCGGGAGCAACCCACCTCTGGTCTGAACTGAGATGAAGCATATGGCATGTACATATGGGATGACACATACATTAAAAAGCAAGCGAGTTGCGTGCGTGCTTCGTTTGGCTTACCTCATCCGAGCCCGATCCAAAGATCAGCAGGTCAAAAGGTATTGCAGCAACCATGTCAATTAGGAACCAGCCTTTGAAGTAGTGAATGGCTATTCTCGCCGGGTCACTTACCACTTCTTCATTCTGGTTGACATATGTCGTTCGGAAGTTTATGAGAATGTCAATGATAAACATAATATCCACAATTAAGTCTACCATGTTCAAGGGGTTGCAGGAATAGCCACACACCCGCCTCTTCTGTTCTTCGCTGTCGTTGAGAAGGAAGGCAGCCGAGTAAGGGGTGAAGATGGCAGTGTAGATCACAAGCAGTAAAATGAGCCAATCCCAGACGGCTTTGAAAGGACTGTAGTGCAATATCGTAAACTTGTTGATGCGGGGTGTTTGGAGCTTGTATTCTGGCAGGACGTCAGCACCCAAAGAGAGGACCTTGGGAAGTAAGAAACGAAACAACCAACCCATCCAGTGAGTCAAGTAGAAATGGAACAAACATATTGGGAAAAATTACAATTATCTTTGTTGGGAAGAATAGCAGCAGTGAAAATGAATGTTCTACCTANGCCATACCCTTACTGGGGTTCGAATCCCAGTAAGGGTATGGCTAGCTGATGAGAGCTAAATAGAACTCCATCTTAGCTAGACAGAGTTCATGCACAAGTTCCCGGTGGATATCTAGTGCCCAAATAACTTTTTAAGAATCTACCTGGATATTTCTACCTACTACGGGTAGTCCCCAGCTTATAATCATTCAAAGTTACAAATGGCACTGAAAAACCTAGGACTGTTTTCCACACTTATAACCATTGCAGCATCCCTGTGGTCACATGATCAAAATTCAGATGCTTAGTGGCTGGCATGTATTTATGACGATTGCAGTGTCCCAGAGTCATGTGATCACCTTTTGCGACCTTCTGACAAGTAAAATCAATGGGGAAGTCGGATTCACTTAACAACTGTGTTACTAACTTAACAATAGCAGTGATTCACTTAGCAACTGTGTCAAGAAAGCTCATAAAATGCGGCAAAACCCACTTAACATCTTGCTTAGCAATGAAAATTTGGAGGTCAATTGTGGTCATAGGTCAAGGATTACCACTACATGCCCTGGCCAACTCATTAAAGTTATATGGAACAGAACTGCAGGTTACTATGTGGGTCCCTTTTTGACCATGCTTTCTCTGATAGCAGAAAATGGTTCTGCATGTTTGCATTAGGAAGGATTTAGTCAGGAGCCTGTTGAACGAAAATGACTGCTTGGAGGAGACTGATCAGGGCTACCCTCCAGTGGTGGGATTCAATTTTTTTTACTACTGGTTCTGTGGGTGTGGTTTGGTGGGCATGACAGTGATACTGCAAAATCTCCATTCCCTCCCCACTCCAGGGGAAGATTACTGCAAAATCCCCATTTCCTTCCAATCAGCAGGGACTTGGGAGGAAGAGAATGGATGAGGGCGGGGCCAGCCAGAGGTGGTATTTACCAGTTCTCCAAGCTACTCAACATTTCCACTACCGGTTCTCCAGAACTGGTCAGAACCTGTGTCAGAACCTGCTACCCCTGCTCTTTCCATATATCTTCTTCTCAGTTCTGATTATTGAAGCTTTCAGGAGTGTTAATACTATTCAACTTTCAATTTCCAAAATAATTTGATTTATAATGATGGCTGCTAGACTGAAGGGTAGCATATATTAGGCGATGATAATGCTGTAGTCTGATTGTGAAACTTATTTTTGAAGTATTTGCATTTGGAGAAATGCATTTAATTTTTTTAATGTAGAGTCTAAATCATTTTTTTTTATTTACAAAGCTTATTTTTTAATAAAAATATCTATTTTAATTAGCTGATTTTTATTGCTTTGCATGTTTGTATTGATGTAATATAGGGACGCGGTGCCTCAATGGCTTAGACGCTGAGCTGATAAACTTATTGAATTTCACAGCTAAACCACTAAATAAATAGATGAAAATGTTCACCTTGCTACCTAAGGCTGCACTCTTAAGCATTCTATTCTGAGTGTAAACCCATAGAGATTGGATAGGGCTTGTTAACAAGTAAATATGAGTGTTTATAGGTGGCTCAGTGGCTATGACGCTGAGCTTGTCGATCAGAAAGGTTAGCAGTTCGGTGGTTCAAATCCCTAGTGCTGTGTAACCAAGTGAGCTCCCTTTACTTGTCCCAGCTTCTGCCAACCTAGCAGTTTGAAAGCATGTAAAAATGCAAGTAGAAAAATAGGGATCTCCTTTGGTGGGAAGGTAACAGCATTCTGTGCCCCTTTGGCATTCAGTCATACTGACCACATGACCACGAAGATGTCTTTGGACAGCACTGGCTCTTTGGCTTTGAAATAGAGATGAACATTGCCCCCTAGAGACAGGAACAACTAGCACATATGTGCAAAGGGAACCTTCACTTTTACCTTACTGGTGTAAAGCTGGGTTTTTATGATTGCTGGAAACTGTCCTAAGAGCCAGATGAAGTTTTGGTTTTCTAATCCAAGGATAAAAAAGGAAGATCCAACTTCAAAAATTCTCCCTTCCAATTACTGTAGATATTTCAGTGGCGCAAATCATTATAATGCCGTTTCTGTTAAAAACATGATCTTATGTGAGCATGTCAGGAAGGAATCCAGAGAAGAAATGGAAAAATGTAGCCCTTTCCTTTCTACCTGGTAAACGTTATTTAACATTGCTAAATTGTTAGATAAATATGCTCCCAGGTCAAGCTTGACTCCTGATTTTTTTTTCAATCTCAGTGTAATCTATAGTCAGAGTATTCCCTTAGCTGTCTCCGATCCAAGTACTAATTCAGTCTAAACCTATTTTAGTCTATCAGCCCACAAACTCAGCCAGGCGCTTAATTATTAGGAAACAACAGTTCTTGCTGAGCTATGCACAATCAAGTTGATATTTATTACTAATTACTGATATCCCTTAGCCATCCTGTTCTATAAGTGGCTCTACATTCTCCAAAATGTATAGCTCTGTACTTAATATGTACTAGAAACTGTTCCTTGTAGGTAAAAAGTGGGTCAAGTTATGTCTACATCTGGGTCATGCTTGGTTCATGTGCTGTGCTCAAAATTATTTTCCATGTTGATTAACAACTATCCATGTTAATGTTCCACTCTATATTATTATTTTTTTTAAAAATATGCATTTGTGTTCTTTGAGGCTGATGATACTGACTTATCACACAATACAATTTGCATCCCAAAATTATTATGTGGGATCTCTGATTTGGTTTCTTATTGTTAAGTAAAGGCAGATTTTGGTGCGAACGAAGTGAGATCTTCCACCAAATGAACTGTCAACCTTGAAGCTGACCTGACCGAAGCCATTTTTGACCGCTCCAGTGTTGCCACCCTGGAGCTGGGGGATAAGGAGGGGGGAATTGAGACAGAGGGGAATCTGTAGCCACAACAACATATTTTCTTTTGGGAACCAAGGACATTCTCAAACCTGGTCGAAGGAAGGCGGAATGATGCTACCCAGTTGCCTGTCTGCACTGTGATTGGACGATGTGACTGATTGTTTGGAGAAAGGAGAAAAAGTTTTACTTTTAATGAGTTGAAAACCGTGGGAGACTTCGGAGTTGGTTTTCATCAGATATGTGCCAATATGATCATTCCAATAAATGTATTCTTTGACGAATCTGCATCAAAGTCTTGCTTGCTATGGATTTATTACTTGGAAGCCTGACATGAACTTTGCTGAATCACAGATGGGTAGCAATGAAGAAGCTGAGAGAAGACTTTAGTGGGAAAGCTGCTTTAGGATGGAGCATCCATTTGGAAAACCAGTGTTTAAAAAAGGAGATATTAGGGCAGCTGACTTTTTAGCAAAAGTATGCCATATATTAGGAGCACCTCAGTTTAAAAAAAAACTATGTTTAGGAGTATTGGGTAGTAAACTGTTTATATCAAGGAAAATAGTGAATGTTAGGAATATGATTTTCCAGTCTCCTTTTAACTAGTTATTATAGAATGGAATAATTAGCCTATTCCTAAAAAAACTGAGATAAATTAAGACTGATTCATACATTCTTACAGAAAGATACTGCACAACCACAGGGAAAACAAGCATTATCCTTTGAAAATGTCTATTTAATATCTTTGCCATAAATCTCATAATTTAACAGTTGTATGTTAGCACTAATATTTTAAAATTAGAGGTTTTAAATGAATCCACAGGAGCCTACCACCACTCTGCCAAGAATTACAATCGGTCATCTTATTTTTTCTCTCCCCCTCCAGCATGCTGATATTACAAACAGAATTATACACATAGTGTGGCTGGTAGCATTCAGCTTATTATCTTGTGGCCTTTCTAAAAACAGCTTGAGGTCAAGACTTTCTGAGTCTTGGAGAACCTCCTGGTGAAGCCTCTGAAAGCGATGCCATTTCACAAAAAAAGACTGGTTGACAAAGTTGTTAGCAGGGGTCTTTACTCCATGGAGACCTTGTGACAATAGGGATTTCAAAAAAAGACTCAATGACTAAGGTGGTAATTAGAGTAAGAGATAATACTGCTGACCTACATCCACGATCATTCTCATGATAGAGGCATCATGAGAATATTAAGCTGATCAAGAACAACATAAGAAGCAGCATCCCTGAAAAGGAATAATTCAGAAAGTCGCCAAAGCAATAGAATAGCTATACTAATAGAAGTAGTAGTAGTAGTAGTAGTAGTAGTAGTAGTAGTAGTAGTAGTAGTAGTAGTAGTAGTAGTAGTACCGTGTTCCCCTGAAAATTAGACAGGGTCTTATAAGATCTCCCCGGATAATAAGCCCAATAAGATAGGGTCTTATTTTCCTTTGATCCCTGAAATAAACGCTTG